TAAGAACTTACTAAGAAGGCCATCTCAATAGTCCCGCAGACATCTATGTCCCCAGGCATGGATATCATTCCCTCAAATTCAGCAGATCGCACCGGTCAAGTCTCTACTACCACTATCACCGCCAACACAGTTTCCTCCACAGACACACTCACACACTCTCTCTGGGATGATGCTACTGTAACACCAAGTGTAAAATGAATCCCTTTCACCTAACTCTGTCATGTCAACGATGACAACAACCCAGTTTTTGCAACGCCCTCTCAATGCCTAAAGGGATGTAGAGCGAGCATTCAGCAATTTTCTTGAGATGTGTGTTCCTTTATGGTCCTCCCTGTGTTCATTCTTTGGAACTTTATTCACAGAACCACCAATATGGGGTGTTCTTTCAATCACGCCGCAAACATGAAATGTGTACTTACGACGAAGGATCTCAAGCCTGTTCGTGAAGTACGTGAAGTTTATTCCCTTGAGCAGCGCGTTGCCAGGGCGACTGAGATTAAGTGGTTTGCACTGGGCTAATGAGCGACTTGTCCTGGCACAATAAAACTCTGTGTTGCCACTGAGGAGGCACCCACCCTGGTGGAGAATGGTGCCAAAGAAGCAAGAACAGTGAGGGAGGAGCTTCTTACTAGGCTTGATTTGGCAGAAATGTCTGTGATAACGATCACCGCATGGTGAGGCTGCAGTGACGAGGGAGTCTGGGCAAGATCATGACAGCTTGAGCTGAGAAGTTGGAAGCAAGGGTGCTCGAAATGATCAGGCATGCGGAAACGCTGTTGACGCAGTAGCATGATGCGAACTTGGTAACTTCTTTTTTCTTCTTCTTGTGAACCCATCCTGACTTGATTTCAACCTTGTAGACTGACTCAAAGAAAGTCCTGGTGAACCACGGTATCCTTCAAATTCAAACAAGTTAGGAACAGGACGTCATTGCTAACCATAACAAGCTTTGATCCCCCAGTGTGAACATCTCGCCAATGGACTCCATACGAATCCATTCTTCGACGCAGCAATGGCGCAGATGCTTCAAAAGAAGGCCAAGAGTGCTGGGCTTGACACGAAGACTTTGTTGATTTTTGGGATGCAGCTTCCCTCAAGCCCAATCGACAAGTCATTGCAAACTTTTGTAACATTTCATGAATACCCTCCTCTGATTTTATCTTTTTTATTGTCTCTTTTCATCATAGGCCAGTAATGCAATGGAGCAAACGATCGAACCTGTTCCCGATGCAGCACAGCCCTTCTCACCAGATCCAGCCCAGCTCTTTACCAACTCCAAGTCCCAAACAACAGGAAGAAACAATCAAACCACCTTCACCCATCTCGAAACCTCAGCCCAGGGCAACTAAGCAAAACAAGAAGAAGTCCTTCAAGACCCTTGAGGACGCCGATTCGAACTATGTATGAGTACGACAACAGGGAAAATGATCTGAGTGACTTGTCCGATCTGGAGCTTTCATCACCAGCAGGGAGGTGCATGAGAAAACGCGGTCCTTGTGTATCACCGCCACTTACTGTGACCATCAAGGAGCCTGTGAGGACAAAACGAAGATGGGTATGCACGTTCCTCTGCTCCAATATTCCCCCGTTGTTTTTCAACCCCATTTTTCTGAAATGTAGAGGGCCATAAGAGTTCAGAATCTGGCTGTTGTTACGGCGCCTGTCATCCCATCCCTGCAGGGAGAAGTTTCAACTTCCCCAGTTGTTCAGAAGTCCCTAGCTGTCTAGAAGAAAGCCCCTGATGGGCCTGCCAAGACTTGTCAGAAGAAGCACAAGCAGCTGGTTCATTCTCGTTATCAATGCCCTGTTGGTCAGACTTTTTGTGTTGCCTGGGACTCTGTTTTCCTAATCCGACTGGTTTTTTCATCTTTGGCGCTGTATGTCCTGGCATCTCTTGGTTTCACTCTTAGGCAATTGCAAATATCTCCTAATTATGGATGTTTGTTGCCATGACGATTGTACATAACTCTTACTGTGTTGCTCAAGTCATTTGCACATGAGTATGTACCAGAAGCGAAAACGAAAATCCGGCGTACACAACATAACGTCAGATGCCAGTCCGTTATCTCGCCGGAGCGCCGGCTGCATTCTGTAATTAAATGAGTTCTTTAATAGGCAAACAATTACAAGCAATACAATATTTTTTGTTTCAGGCCTAAAACAATGGGGGAAGAAGCTTGAATGTCCAAAAAGTTGAGGGACGTAAACACAAGATATGTTAGCTTCCCTTGACATTATTTTTATGAGTGGCCGTTGTATGTAGCCAAGGTAAGGCATACTTACAAGATTTCTGGGGCTCATAACGTATGACTTAACCAAGTGACACATAGAAATCCACACCATCCCAAGGCTGCCCTGCCCTCTGAGTCTCCCATTCAAGTACCTTTGCATTTTTCAGTGTTGCATAAATATTATATGTATTCATAAGAATACGGTGGGTTAAATCTACATTTCGGGTATGCTATTACTAAGTGCATTAATTTACTTTGCCCTCGTCGCTCTTGCCTGGTCGGAATGTGGCTCATCTGCTGGGCATGGTGTCCCTCACGCCGTCGCTGGGCTCGTCTCGTGTTTACAAGATGTTGGGAGCCGATCCCTGGCTGATCCTGCCGCTTTGGGGCTTACTGTGTTGGCAGTGGGCTGGTCCTGTTGATGAGTCGCTCATCACCATGGTGGCAGCATTGGCAACGAGTTGATACTGCCGCCGCTGTGCCTACCGTTGTGCGCATCATTATCCGCGTCATGGTACCACTGTTGTGGAGTTCATTACCCTGTCGCTGTGCTGGTCCTGCTGTCATGGAGGTCTTTACCTTCCCCGGTATAATCCATATGGAATCCATGTGGAATCCATGGAATCCATGAAGAATTCCATATGGAATCCATGGAATCAATGTTGGCTGAGGACACAGCCAGTTTCTGATTCCATGGACATCATGGATTCCATATGGAATGATGCTGGAATGGTCATGGAATGATTAATTCCATATGGACTCCAACACCATTCCATATGGATTCCATCAAATTCCATATGGAATGCAGGCATATCCACATGGATTCCATGGAGCAGTCCATATGGATTCCATGGAATGGAATTAATGACTATTATACCATTAGAATACATTGTCCTTACTATAAGTAAGTAAAATAAATTTTTTTACATCTCGAGGAATTGAACTCTCGACGTCGTGAATGTAAGCAGCGCTCAAGCGACTGAGCCATGAAGGCATTATTATATGAGAAACTAAAGGTATGTATATACCGCTTTTAGGCACGTGCCGCGTCAAACGTGACAGCTGTGGCTGAAGCGTTGCCACGTCGTTCTTTCCTTCCTACCACCACCATCACCCTCAGTAAAAACGATTCGTCATGTCTCGGTCGTATGGTAGTCACGCTACTACACGAAAATGCACGACATGACTAAAAGCAGTCTTTTTTACAAAATTTTGACTTTGAGTTGACTTCACCAAGTCGTGTAAAGTCGTGTGGTCTCCTCTCCTGATGCCAAATATATCCAGGATACAGTCATTTGGTAGTCATGTAGTTCTCTCCTCCTAGTCCTTTCATAGTCAAATGAAAGTCAGAACACAGTTATGCTACCGTCGTATGATAGTCTCATTCCGGTCATGCTCAGGTCATTTGATTGATGTATGTTAGTCATGTATTTCTCATCTCAGCACCATGTCGGGGTCATGTAAATGTAAAATCATTAATTCCCCAAACATACTGACTATACTGTATATAGACCCTACTAGCTCAATCAACCACTTGAAGTCCAAGCACTCATCTCCTAATCATAAACCTCGAGCGTCGAGAGGAGGCCGTGTACATGTGTTGAAGAAGGGAGGAGAACGTGAAGTCAGGGGGAGGCCTAGGAGACCATTCATCAAGGTAGGGGGGAGGCCGAGAGCCCCATTCATTAAGGGAGGAGACAGTACAGCGAGAGAGGAGACAGTCATCGAGGGAGGAGACAGTTTGTTGAAGGGATACTATCCAGCGAGGGAGGAGACAGTTCATCCAGGGGATACCATTCAGAAGACAGTTTATTGATGGCAAGTCCGTTCCAAGTCCGTTCGTCAAGAGAGTAAGCCGTTCGTCGAGGGAGGGAGGAGGCCCTTGGTGGTACTACCTAACAAATGGGAGGAGACTGTCCATCGGAAGAGGAGGTAGCCCATTGAGGGAGGGAAGAGGTCGTTCGCAAGAGGGAGGAGGCCATTCGCAGGAGGGAGTAGGACGTTCGCAGGAGGGAGGAAGCCGTCTGTCGACTTATAAATTGGACCTCTTGTTGATGTGGTGGGAAGGAAAGAACTTGGGAAGTTGAACAGGGAATTTTCGCGCTGACTCGAAAGTCAACATGATCACCTGATGTCGTCGGAGTTTCAACGGACTCCAACAAATTGTGACTTGCATTTGTCGAAAAGAGGACGAAGGTAATACAGAGGATACTAGTGAATCGGTTGACGAGGACCAGACTACAACACAGCATGTAATTGACTATCCCTCGACTCCAGTCAGGCCGTGAACACATAACAAATACATTCTTAGCGCCACATGACTTTGAACTCACCAACATGACTTCACATGACCTTCTTGCGAGAAATTGATGACTTTACTTGACTTTCGTTTTTACTGAGCATCACCATCCACCACCACCGTTTCAAACCACGACCGCCCGCGACATCGACAACGACGACGACGACGCTGACGCTGACGACGCGTGACGAGGGCCCAGCCCAGGTAAGTGGGAACAACCACCCCACCCACTCTCCTTTTTAACACAAACCACAGGTGCCACGTCGCGACGTGGCAACCAGACGGCGAACGACGACATCGGTCGTCGTTCGCCGTCTCTGCTCGGCCACGAGGACTCACCACCACGAACAGCCCACCAACACACCCCACCAACGTCAACGAGCGCCCACCCCCACGAGCGCCCACCGACGAAAACGAGCGCCCACCAACGTCAACGACCTCACACCAACGACGACCAGCGCCCACGAAAACGACCGCCCACGGACGTCCAGCGACCGCAAACGACGTCCCCGCCCACGAAAACGATGTCCACCGCCCATGAACGACGCCCACCGCCAACGATGTCAACCGCCCATGAACAACGGCCACCACCAACGACGTCCAACGCCCACCGCCCACCAACGACGTCCCCCGCCCACCAACGACGTCCCCCGCCCACCAACGACGTCCCCCGCCCACGAAGACGACGTCCGCCGCCCACCGCCCACGAAA